ATATAAAATCAAAAGTATAAAATAATAAAGTAACATAAAAATAATAAAATAATATATATTTTTTAAAGATAAATATATAAAATAAAACAAAATTAATAAAATATAAATATATAATTAAATGAGTTGATGTTTATGACAAAAAATAATTGGCACAATTTTCAAGGCAATCACCACCCCTATTAAGGGGGTGCCATTAGCACTCCCCTTTAAATAATATGTATTAATAAATATTATTTCATATATATATAAAATGATTTTTAAAAGTTTTTTAAAATACTTTATAATACAATATATTCTCAATGATCAAAATTTTGAAAATCCAGTTAATTAATCTATATAAATATCAAGTTAAATAAAAAAAATATTGATACTCGTATACTTTCTTTAATTAAGAAATTTTGGTCGTATTAAAATTAATTTGGATTCGTAACAAATATGATAAATTTATGAAATTTTCAGTTAGATAATTAGTTAGTTCATATAGATTTAGGAAGAGTGATGATTCTTATTGGGTTACTTTACCTTATCAGACAAATATGACAATGATTGAGAATTTTACCCGGTAGGATTGTTAACAACGACCAAGAGTTAACCAGTAATTGAGAGTGATGACTCTTATCTAGTGACGGACCCAGTATTTTTACCGAAGCAGGAGCACCTTTAAATTTTTATTTATCCTCTGTGGACCCATAATCGTTTTGCAAACTCAAGAGCGCCAATTCATCGAGGTCGTCCAACCACTCGTGACATTTGGCAGCAACTAGCGAGTCCAAGATGACTATATCGTCATCTAAGATTGCAAAATTTCGGAATGGAGTTACTACTCCTAGATAAACCAGCTGCTCAATGTGTTTGTAACCGAATTCCGTCTTTGAGGGTTTTTTTTTAAGTTTTTGGTTGATTTCAAGGGACTTTTTGGGTTTTTTCGAGAGATTTTTTCATTTTTTTTATTGATTTCAACACATGTGCACCTTTAACCCTTCAAAAACTCTAATATCTCGGAGCACATCCCAAACTTTAGCAGGTGCACCTTATGTAACCATTTTTTTTACACTTAAAACTTGACAGCAAAACGTCGTGAAAGTAAAAAAATCGAACCTTCACAGCAAAACACACCTCTATATATTGTTAAATACAATCCCACTAATTTCCATATCAGATAGAGAAAAGGACAGAAATGGAAGGATGTGGGTATGAGTAGGTGAAAGAAAAGATGAGTGGTGCTTCAATAATGTAAGCCCACAGTGAGACTGGAATGGTCATGCACCTACCTTAACAAACACTCATAATAATATTAATCTAATTATTTTCAATATTTATAACAAATACTCTCCTAATTATATTTTCTATATTTAATTTATATGAAAAATATATATAATGGTTTAGTTATATAAAAAATGGTAAAATAGAAACCAAAAAAATGTACAACAGTGACAACCATGTAAATGTGGGTCGGGTTTGTTGGTTGGTCCACTTTTAGCATCTTTCTGTTCCCATTCTATAAAGATACATGTACTTGCCCCATAACATCACTATTTTTATTTTCTTTTATTTTTTTTAATTATTTTTTATTTTTATTATATCAAGACACATAATCGTATCTATACTATATTATAAAGTATTTGACAAAAACTCTTAAAGACCATTTTTATGTATGAATTACTGTTTATTGATACATATTACTTAAAATTTTAGATTATAAGTAAATTGTGCATAAGTACAACTTATTAAAGGTCTATATTTGAATTCATGTAACTAACTGCAGATAAACATAATCAAATATTGGATAAACATATCATTTTAAATTTAAAAAATCTAAAATATAATTAGGATAATCATTGAGTTTTAACAGAATACTTAGTTATTATTTATATAAAAATTATATTATTAAACCTAAATTAAATTTCTTTGTTAATAAATCTAAATTAAATTATAATTAAAAAAACTGTATTATGACAATTACACCGAAACACATGAACTTTTAAAAATATTAATTTGATACTGATATCGATATAATTTTTTTTTCAAAATTTTAAGATATTTTCAAATTTATATTTTATTCAAAAATAAAAATATTATCGTGTTTTCAAAAACACATAAAACTGTATTATATTGACATAAAAAAGAATAAAACAAAACACTGAAATGAATATGTATCTCGATGCATTGTACGAGTACCATTCTAGTGTTAACTAAAATATATTAAAAAAATGTGTTTCTTTTTTATAAGTTACACCATTATTATTGTCTGATTAATACGTTCGGAATAAGTTCAATATTAAATATTTTTTGATTTAATCTTATATTTTTATTAAATATTACTAATACTAATGAATTGTTTTTAATACTTTTATTTTATACCCTTATTGGTACAAATTAAATAAAAAAACAT